TTCCAAAAAAGTATTGTAAAATAATATAAAAAAAAATTTTATCAATTGTGTAACAATTTTATGACATTCAACGTTTCTTCCTGTTTATTGATATTCTAATGTCTGCAGCTCTAGTGACTATGTAATCAAATAAACTTCCAATTTTGTTAGTAATCAATTGTTAGATTTAACCTTATTGATCTAATTTTTCTTTTTCAAACAGAAATGGGTAAAAAAAACCGCAATGCCGCTCCTAGAGAAGAAGAAGTCTTAAATTGCTACAACTTTCACGTGTAGAAAACACTGACAAGTGCACTTCAAAATGGTTACATTGTGTGGACAGGTTTCACAAAATAATAAGCTATGAAAAAGATATTGACAAAATTGAAACAACAGCAGAATTAGAAGACTTTCTCTGCAGATTCATTATCTGGTTGAAGTGGTTAGATGGAAATGACTATAAGGCAGAGAGTATTCATAACTGTTATGCCTTTATAGCTCATTATCTTAAAGAAAATAGTGAAATTAGGCTTTGTAAATTGTGGGATTCATACCATTTCAGCAAAGCATTAAGGACGCTTGATGGAAAAATGAAACAGCTTCAAAATGCAGGCTTGGGTAAAACGGATCAAGCATCTCCACTAACTGCTAAAGAGATTATACTGATCCTTGATTATGAGAATTTGTAGGTAGATACTAACAAAGGGTTGGTGTGATGAGTTTTCTTTGGCTTTCACTATTGTGTGGTCTTCGTGGAAGCGATTCTGAAAGGATTCAATTTAAAGATATATCTCGTCATGATAATAGTGGTCTGTTTCTTACTTTTAACCACGAAAAAAATAACCAATGTGGGGCTTTAAATGAAATAAATATGGGAAAACTTCTGCAAGAAAGATCCCTATTCCTCCTGATAATATTAATAATCATTTTACACCCAATTAAAGATATCTTGCATATGATATCTTTACATCTTATAAGTTCTTGTAATTCTTTGTTTCTAGAAACAACATGGCTATCAAAGAGTTGATAGCATTTATTTTGTGATTTATTATTTTAATGATTTTAATTATTAATATCAATTTTTTTTTTTGGTAAATATTCAAAAAGGTATTTGGTTCAAAAAAAATCATATGAGAATCAATAAACTAAATACAATGATGGCAAAAATTGCAGAATTCACAGATATCAACCTGGATAATAGCCGCAAAATTAGTAACTATTCTCTATAATGTACAGCGATTCAATGGCTAAAAGATTTGAATGTCCTGAAAAATGAGTGTATAATATTTTCTGGTCATCATAGCAGGGAAGGAATTAGGGCCTACAATAGCCCAAATAATGACCAGAGGTTAAAGAATACGTCAATATTAATCCCTCTGGATTTGGACAATATTTCGTATGAAGAGTTTAATTATTTCCCCAAGGATGCAAAAAACTATTTGAATTTCATGAAGGATGATTATAATAAAGGTATTTATTTTATTATTAAATTATGTTTTTTTACATATATTAATTCTTTATTAATGGTTTTATTTAAGCATCTGCACTTCCAAATAATACAAAAAAAGCACCAAATCAACGATTATCACTGGAATCACCATGTGAACCATCATTGGAATTATCCCATGAACAATCGCCAGGATCTTTACATGAACAATCACTAGAACCAATACTTGAACAACTATCAGGACCAATTCTTGAACCACCAGGACTATTGAATGAGCAACTGCCAAAACTATTGAATAATCAATTACCGGATTCATTAAATGAACAATCACTAGGACTACCAAAAAGACTACCAATACGATCACAACAAATTTCAAAGAAATTGTATGTGCTATTTAAACCACTTTATAAAAATTTGCAGGAGGTTACGTGACCTCTATTTGTATAACATGAGGTAGCATGAAGGTGTAAGTGCGAGTGAGGAAAAATGAGTAAAGGTCACGTGACCTCTACTCGTGTAATGTGAGGTAGCACGAAGGCACATGAGCAATATAGTGTAATACAAGATATATGTTTACAATATAATTTATAATATAAACAAGTTATACAAAAAAAAGGCCCAGT